TCAGAAATAGGATCAACAGAACCAAGGGATCAAAAGGTGGCGCACTCAAAGATATGTCCAGATGTATGACACAGTCCTGGTAACAGTCAAGGCAGTAAAGACCCAGGGTTCAGCTCAGGGTCTAAATTTAGCAGGCCTGGGTTCAAAATCCAGTGTTGCCATTTACCATTGGGTAATCTGGAGAAAATTACTTATGCTCTCCAGGTCTTAAAAAGAAGAGCCTAATAGCACTTACCTCCAAAAGTTGTTGTGAAGATTGAAACAGAATACCATGAGTCAAGTGTTTAGCAGAGTTTCTGGCACTTAGTAATTGCTCAATAAACAGTACTACTAGCCAGTAAGGTAAACACAGGGAAGCTTCTTCAACCTCAGGTTGTGGAATCCATGGTTTGAGAGGTTTTTAGTGAGTGGACACTGTGAACTCTAAAAACAATTTTCCACTCAGTGGAATATGTCTCCCGACTCCTTAAAGTTAAGTTGAAAAAAAGAATATATAACTGAATATTTGGTTTTATATTAATTGTGAGTGTCTGGTATATATATGTATGTATGTGTATGCCTCTGTATTTCTAGGTATACTTGTGCATGTACACATAAACATATACTAATTAGGTCATTGAAATCACATTAAAACATTAATACTAATTATCACTAGATGTTAGATTATGGGTGAATTTAACTTTTATCTCTATTATTTCTGTTATCCTTCACAATTTTTCTATAATGAATAAGTATGACTTTTATAAATAAGGGACAAAAGTACATGTTCTAAAATACCTTCCCTTAAAATATATGGATTGAAATCCTACTATGTGTCAGATACTACACTAGAAACTAAGGATACAACAATGAGAACTCCTGCCCTCAGCCCACCCCCCCCACACACATACACATAAAGGGGAACAAAAAAAGCAACAAAAACCACCTGAAACCACATGTGCACATACCAGAAAGCTGGAACTTGAAAAATCAAGTTCAAATGTAACTATGATACTCCAGAAGCAACAAAAATGATGAGCTCCGTTGACACCATCCTAATCATGTTTTTAAGTCTGACAGAAGATTCAAAAGAATTTTCTAATTCTCCTATTTTGCAAGGGTTCAGTAGGAAACTCCACTGTTCCCTCCTTTTTAAGATTTTGCTTCCTCTTATTTAGTAATTCCTATCCTGAGGGAATATAATACAATTCTGCAATGTCCTAATCAACTTTGAGTCTAATTAGTAGAGATAGCTCCCCTGGAAACTACAATCCTCCACAGGGAGACTTATTTCAGTAACAAAGGCTTTCTTTAGACAGTATATAAGGGGGTTTCTATTTCAAAGTACAAACCCTTGCCTCGCTGCACATTCAGGGAAATTTAGAACAGTATGTATTTTTCTGAGCTCCCACAGACTTAACGAAAACAATTTGGGCCTCTGGAAAACTCTCCAACATCTTGACTGTGTGTGTCAGCACAACTGATATGCCTGCCTTTGACTCACTATAACAAGGAGATTCTAGCTCAAAGTTGTCAGTTTCAGTTTCAACTGGTGTCTGTGTGAAGAGTAATGGAAATGATCAATTAAGGGTGCTCACTCTACCCTCTATATCTTTTTAAATTAAGTACATACTGAAATGATGGACTTTATACAGATGACAGTATAGGCATTCTGTGTCTACCCCTGTCATTTATTCTCACTGCTGTATTTCTGGAATTAGGATTCATGTTCTGTCATCTTGAATATTTTAATACTTTACTGATCTCATATGTGTTTAGCCATAGGAGGAAAGCAGTAAAATAAAATTTTATAGCCAACAAAGTCCTTTATACCTAAAGTTTATTGCACTTTTTATATTGTGTTTAACAACACATGGCTCCTTGAGACTCTGAAATAAACATAGCTTCCTCAAGTCGCAGTGGGCTTGTGCTCTTTCATTTCTTGTTGAGAGTTGATTCCATCGTCACGATAAAAAGAATTCCTGATAACTGGCCAGAGAGGTTGCAATTCTATCAGGCAGGTGCTTCTTTCTCTAAAAGTGTTAAGACAACCTTAAAGCTCCTTTGTGTTAGAAAAATGCCCCATTTTTTTATTTGCTCCCAAAATACAGGTATTCTCCATTCAAAGTGACCCTTTTCCATGGACTCCCCAGATTACATTCAATTTCAATCAATAAGTCAGGGATCAATCAATTGATGAGATATGAAGGAGCCCATTGACTCCTAAAGTAGTTGATATTTTCCAGCAACAACTTTTCTCACTGGCTAGGGTCTTTAAAATTTTATGATAATGATAAAACTATTGTTTTATGTAGTGATGATTTCTTGGAGTAATTAACACTATCTTATTTTTGTTCTTTGGTTTGCAAAGTTGGCATGGTGGCCCAAGAAGTGAATAGAGAATTGCAATATGGTTCAGGACATTAGAGTAGTTTCTATTGCTCCCTGATTGAGCTAAATAACTGGTTTGGGGGATTTTTCAGTGCTTGTTGTTGTTGTTGTGTATATGAGTAAAAAGCAAACAAGGGCTTCCCTGGTGGCCCAGTGGTTGAGAGCCCGCCTGCCGATGCAGGGGACACGGGTTCGTGCCCCAGTCCAGGAAGATCCCACATGCTGCGGAGCGGCTGGGCCCGTGAGCCATGGCCATTGAGCCCGCGCGTCCGGAGCCTGTGCTCCGCAATGGGAGAGGCCACAACAGTGAGAGGCCCACGTACCAAGAAACAAAAACAAAACAAAACAAAAAAAAAGCAAACAAACAAAAAACCTCTAGGTTTTTCCGTAATACAAGTTGCAGACAGAATTGCCATCCCAGAAGAGTATAATGTAATGAAAATATCATTGAACTGGCTTCAATTCCAAGTTCTCATGATATTATTCTGGGGAGGGTGAATGCAAATTATTTCATTGCCCATGTGTTAAAAACTGAATTTAAAAAAATAGATTAGATTTCACAATTTGTATGGAAACACAAAAGATCCCAAATAGCCAAAGCAATCTTGAGAATGAAAAACAGAGCTGGAGGAATCAGGCTCCCTGACTTCAGACTATACTACAAAGCTACAGTAATCAAGACAGTATGGTACTGGCACAAAAACAGAAAGATAGATCAATGGAACAGGATAGAAAGCCCAGAGATAAACCCACACACATAAGGTCACCTTATCTTTGATAAAGGAGGCAGGAATGTACAGTGGAGAAAGGACAGCCTCTTCAATAAGTGGTGCTGGGAAAACTGGACAGGTACATGTAAAAGTGTAAGATTAGATCAATCCCTAACACCATACACAAAAATAAGCTCAAAATAGATTAAAGACCTAAATGTAAGGCCAGAAACTATCAAACTCTTAGAGGAAAACATAGGCATATGACATAAATCACAGCAAGAGCCTTTTTGACCTACCTCCTAGAGAAATGGAAATAAAAACAAAAATAAACAAATGGGACCTAATGAAACATCAAAGCTTTTGCACAGCAAAGGAAACCATAAACAAGACCAAAAGACAACCCTCAGAATGGGAGAAAATATTTGCAAATGAAGCAACTGACAAAGGATTAATCTCCAAAATTTATAAGCAGCTCATGCAGCTAAATAACAAAAAAACAACCAAACAAATCCAAAAATGGGCAGAAGACCTAAATAGACATTTCTCCAAAGAAGATATACAGATTGCCAACAAACACATGATAGAATGCTCAACATCATTAATCATTAGAGAAATGCAAATCAAAACTACAATGAGATATCGTCTCACACTGGTCAGAATGGCCATCATTAAAAAATCTAGAAACAATAAATGCTGGAGAGGGTGTGGAGAAAAGGGAACACTCTTGCACTGCTGGTGGGAATGTGAATTGGTACAGCCACTATGGAGAACAGTATGGAGGTTCCTTAAAAAACTACAAATAGAACTACCATATGACCCAGCAATCCCACTACTGGGCATATACCCTGAGAAAACCGTAATTCAAAAAGAGTCATGTACCAAAATGTTCATTGCAGCTCTATTTACAATAGCCCGGAGATGGAAACAACCTAAGTGTCCATCAACAGATGAATGGATAAAGAAGATGTGGCACATATATACAATGGAATATTACTCAGCCATAAAAAGAAACGAAATTGAGCTATTTGTAATGAGGTGGATAGACCTAGAGTCTGTCATACAGAGTGAAGTAAGTCAGAAAGAGAAAGACAAATACCGTATGCTAACACATATATATGGAATTTAAGAAAAAAAATGTCATGAAGAACCTAGGGGTAAGACAGGAATAAAGACACAGACCTACTAGAGAATGGACTTGAGGATATGGGGAGGGGGAAGGGTAAGCTGTGACAAAGCGCGAGAGAGGCATGGACATATATACACTACCAAACGTAAGGTAGATAGCTAGTGGGAAGCAGCCGCATAGCACAGGGAGATCAGCTCGGTGCTTTGTGACCACCTAGAGGGGTGGGATAGGGAGGGTGGGAGGGAGGGAGATGCAAGAGGGAAGAGATATGGGAACATATGTATGTGTATAAGTGATTCACTTTGTTATAAAGCAGAAACTAACACACCATTGTAAAGCAATTATACTCCAATAAAGATGTAAAAAAAAATGGATTAGATTCATTTATGAGTTCCTTTCCTACTCCAATTTTCCATAGTTCTAAATAAAATACATTAAACTTATTTGATCCCATTGTGTCATTGTCAGAATTTCATCTGTTCATTTGCTCATTCATATCTCCTACCAAGATTTATTAAACAACCAACATTCATTAAGACCTCACATAACCTGAATTTGTCTTCACCACCAACGCTTCCAAACAGGATATACTTCAGGATATTTTGGGGACAAAGAGTTAAAGATAATGTTAACTGCCATACAGAAATAAACCACTGATGTCCTTGGTCTTACTGAGCTCTTGACCTATTTTCCTGCCTGAATGGCCGGGAAAAAAATTTCAAAAGCCTTTAACCCTCCTCAAACTCAGAAACAGAATATAAAAATATACACGCCCAATAGATATTCCTTACCACCTCTTCTTATCTTCAAAGATGAGATCATTGAGCCTTCGAATGAGAGTGGTTTTAGAAGGGTCACCATTTCTGGATGCTAACTTCAGATCTGCAGGACTCTTGGGCCATTGCTGTCAGTTGCTGAGTTTCTACAAGGCCATCTTAAGAACTGAAATATAGCAGAACGAGTGGAGTTTAGTTTTTGGATTTTTTAATGAATTGTTTCCCCTGATATCCTCGTGGTCAGGAAGCTCATTGGATTGTCTACCTTTTATGTCTTCAGTGTAAAGTATGTTTTCTAGTCTGTCTCCTATTGAGCTGGAAATAATGCCTCTTATGCCCCTTTGAACAGCCCTTCTTACTCTTGAATACGGTTGTTAAGGTGCCCTTCAACTATCATTACTATAAGCCATGTATCCCTTGCAATAAACATCATTAAAAACTGCTCCAGGGTCTTCTTAAAGTAATGTGAGATTTTTACATTTTTATGCCTGGCGTGGGTAATGTTAAAAAGTAGTACTGGGATGGGAAAGTAGGTGGGATGTCAAAAGATACCCTCCATCCTTAACGCTCCCTTGATGGAAATGACAGCCTTATTTGTTTTGTTAACCAGTGTATAATTAAAAGTCAATATTCAAGATCATAATAAAAATCTGTATAACTGCTCATGTTGTGAGACTGAGGCTTGGAAGGAAAATCTATGAAAACGCAGCCTTGTGTAATTTACAAGCAATCTGTAATAAAACGTTTGCTTTCAACATTATCTGCAAAATGGTCTGTATATTACCAGCATAAATCCATACTACTTGGAGGCTGTAGACAAATGTCCAAAGGCAAAGTTCACGTGGAGGTTATCTGCCTCTGAGATAACCGCAGAGGTTCTGAGCGGGGCAGTGCTATCTAGAGGAGATAATTTGTGGTTTACTTCTCCAAGTCTCAAGTACCTTGTGCAGAAATGAGTTTAGTTCCTGAGAGGGTATCTGTCATATCCAAGTAGGAAACGAATACCATTGCAGGGTTGTACCCGTTGCAAAAAGAATATAGCTTTTGTCCTCAGTGTGAAACAAAGGGAAGATTCTTAACAATTAAAAGTCCTGAATGAACCTTCTGTTCACAAAAAAAAGGGAGATACTTGATGCTTTGTAAAACACTGATTCACTGGGCAGTAGTGTGATGTCTTATTTCAAGTCATCAGTGAATTCGGTGCTCAAGTATATGAAACTTTCATGAAGTTGTACCTTGGATTCTGATTTAACAATATATATATATATATATTTTTTGCATTACGCGGGCCTCTCACTGTTGTGGCCTCTTCTGCTGTGGAGCACAGGCTCCAGATGCGCAGGCTCAGTGGCCATGGCCCACGGGCCCAGCCGCTCCGTGGCATGTGGGATCCTCCCGGACCGGGGCACGAACCCGCGTCCCCTGCATCGGCAGGCGGACTCCCAACCACTGTGCCACCAGGGAAGCCCTAAGAATAATTTTTTATGCATAGGAAAAAATCTAATAGCAATGGGGGGAGTACTGAAACACCCCAGAAGAAAAGTTTTCATGGGAGGACTGATACCTTTCAAGGCAAGAAAATGGGCTTTGGATAATATTTGATTCCCTGACATTAGCTAAGGGTTGTTGCTTCTTGCCATTTAAATTAGACTCTAAGGTGGTGTTAGGGAGAGGGTCTCTCTATTGTCACTTTGTCTCCTTTCCCACCCCTTTGTCACCTCTTTCCAGCAGCAGAAGGGACTTCGAATCTTGTCTGGTGATGACTACTAAGATCTATTTATGGTAAAGTCCCAGTTTTAGAACTCCAGGCTTTGCTTTTGATATGGAAATGGAAATTCTGAAATTTATAAATCTCCTTTCCCTCTCAGTACACTTGACTTTCAGGAACTATTGTCCTCTAGGGGAGTGGTTCTCAAAACCAGCAGCATTAGTATTACCTGGGAACTTATCAGAAATACAAATTCTTGAGTCCCACCCCAGACCCCCTGAATCAGAAACTCTGGATGGGTTTCTGGAGTAAGACCCGGTAATCTGTCTGTTAGCAACCCTCCCGGTGATTCTGATGCTCACTAAAGTTGGAGAACCATTGCTGCAGGGAGTCCAGAATATTCTCGTTGAGGCTCAGAGCCCAGCAATGACTTCTTTGTCCTGTGTGATACCTGTCCTTCCCTTAAGCCAATGAATGCTGTGAATTTCATTGATGGGGAATCACCGGGCAACATAATTTACTTAAATAAAAAACAGATTTATTTTGTATTTCAGAAACATTAATCCCTTTACACACGTCCTGTCCTGAAAGAGAACCTGGCAAGTCTATTAGGTCCCATTTTCAGCAGGATTTCTTATTCTTACAAATTTATGTCTCTTTCTCCTCATTGCTTCCAGAAAACATAGGCATTCCAAAGTCATCTGAAGCTCCAGACCAATTTCATACTTGAATTAGAGAAATAAAACATTCAGTACAGTGAATATAAAACTGGCATTCTGGTGACATAAATCTATAAACTGGGCCCATTGAACTCACTAGAACCACGTTAGTAAATGATCATGGTGAGGACCTCAAGACTCACAATTGCTTCTGAATTATGAAAAATAAAAATATATCAAGCTACGTTGCTTCTAGACTTAAGTAATAGGGGTATCCTGTTATCCTCTCCAGATTAAATAGTTCATCTCTATGTGTGTAGTTCAATGCAACATAGCTGATGTTGATTCAGTTTACTGGCAACTCTCTGAGTCCACATTTTGACCTAGCAAAGCCCTGCATTCCCTGTCTAAACCTGACAGGATATGGGGATTGAGGCCATGGATAACACTAGGAGGAAGGCTCTTGTACCAGAGTGACAGCTAAGGTCCTGGTTCCAAGACTGTGCATGGGGCACTACCACAAACATAAGAGTGCTACAGGGTATTTTAAATTTGTAAGAGTAACACAGCAATACTCCCCATCTGTTCACACTGCATGAATTACTAGCTTACAGTAATTCACAGCTTCAAAATTAGCTCCAGGGACTTCCCTTGTGGTGCAGTGGTTAGGAATCTGCCTGCCAATGCAGGGGACATGGGTTCGAGACCTGGTCCGGGAAGATCCCACAGGCCATGGAGCAACTGAGCCTGTGCACCACAACTACTGAGCCTGCACTCTAGAGCCTGTGAGCCACAACTACTGAGCCTACACACCACAACTACTGAAGCCCACATGCCTAGAGCCCATGCTCCACAACAAAGAGAGGCCACAGCAATGAGAAGCCCCCGCACCGCAATGAAGAGTAGCCCCCACTCGACGCAACTAGAGAAAGCCTGCGCACATCAACGAAGACCCAACACAGCCAAAAATTAATTAATTAATTAATAAAAACATTAGCTCCAGCTCCTCTGAGGACACCCTAGCTTCACAAAGCTGGGTTTTCAGAAGTTGCTGTGATAAAAAGCTAGTGCCCTGCAAAAATTGTTGTGGAACCGGAAATAAGGGTGTCAGTGTCCAATCTGAAGGCAAGATTTGAGAAGTTGTGCAGTGCCCTACAGGCACACACATCCATCAGTAAATAACTGTGATTATGTAAGAATGAAAGAAACATTTTTTTTCATTCAACATATATGTATTTTTTCAAATGGCTACTAAGTTGTTAGGACATAAATACATTATACATTTTAAAGTTTTTGGACCTAGCTACTTAACAAACAAAACTGTTAGGCATTTCTTTTGGCACAGAGGTACTATGAACCAAGAAAGTTCGTGAATCTCTGGGCCAGGGGATTCTTCTTATCTGGAACTACCAAGAATAAGATATTTACCACAGAGGTGAAGGCAGGGGTGGTAGGAGCCAAAGGCTGTCAGACAAAAGCTTATAGACAAGGTCAAGAATGTGGGGCTGCAACTCTCCTGAGTCCTTGCTTGGCCAAAAACTTGTACTGCCAGCATAGCAACAGTTTCTCTCTGCCTTGTATTATACTGAACTTTTACACATCAATCTCCTCCCTTAGAATGTAAATTCTTGAGATCTTTCCTTATTTGTTTCTCTATTTTCCCAGCACAACATCTTGAATGCTTTCTGAGAGATTGTCTTGGAATCAAGCAGCTTTTAGATTCAGTTGAGAACATACGTTCAGTATAATTCTTTAGTTATTCTTGCACCTCCCAGATTTCAGGTGGATGCAACCTCTGTGATGAGGCCTCATGTTACTCCCATGCACATTGGTGCTTGAGCAGATGTCACAATTCATGGTTTCTGTAACCTTGAGGCTTGGGGACCAATGGCCTGGCTGGCCCCACGTTTCAGAGTCCTGAACTTGTGTATACTCAGTGAATGAATGGATGGATGAATGGATGAAATCCTCAGAAGACTGAACTGTGTTTTAACATAACTGCCATTAGTCTTACAAGTCAGGAAATCAAAGGTAGCAGACAAGGGTGACCAGGACAACATTGCATGTCCATATCCCTGGGAAGTTCTCTCTTGAGAATTATACTCTTTTAAAGGGCTTCTCCAAAAACATCAGCTCGAAGATTCTGCCTATCTTAAGAGTCATTAAGATCTTTTTATCTTATGCAAACAAGATTTCCTGACAAATTCACTGAACATATGAACTCTTTCTTAATCTCCCCCTATACTCACCAGGAAGGACAGTGAGTTCTGTTTGGCATGGTCCTCTCTAAGTCATCTATACACATAAACATGATTGACCCAACTCTTGTATGTCTGAACGTATCTTCCCTGACTTTGCTCCACATAGATACCTAGTTATTGAGTAGAGGAGGAAGACTAAGTTTATCAGAATGATGCCGTGTAGTTCATTGATGCATCTGCTAGATTTTTTAGCAGTATGTGCTTGCAAATGGAGTGTATTCCAATGGTCCATTTGTAAATCAGTTATGTGGAACATGAAATTCATTTTTCCATTTAAAAAGTATTTATAAAAGGTGGTTACTTTTCCAGCTTAGCCCCCAAGCTTATTTAGCCTATAATTTTGCTAGAATAAGATATATTCACAAATGGGTTCACACTGCCTTAGTGTTCATGGTCAAATAAAGCAGAAAAAGTAAAATTAAATAATAAGTTTCCATTTTTAAATATATCTTGAAGGTCTATGTTTTGAAAAAGACAGTTTTAAATAAAAGGGATGAGATAGGTGAAGACTTTTAGAAAAATTCTGAAACAAATTTTG